GCTCCATTCCCAGCTCCATCCCCAGCTCCAGCCCCAGCCCCATTCCCCATCCCCATTCCCAGCCCCAGCCCCTCCCTGTCCTGCACTGGGGACCCAAAGCTGTCCCCAGGTCCAGGCTGGGGCCTCAGCCGTGCCCAGCACCGTGGAATGGGCACTGCCCTGGCCCCGTGGCCACGCTGTGGCTGACACAAGCCAGGGGCCTGTGGCCTCCCTGCCCACCTGAGCTCACAGCCAGCCCCAGGTTCTCTCCCTGGCACCAGCTGTGGGTGCAGCAGCCCCTCCCCAGGGCGATATTCCCTGGAACACAACCAGCCCCGAGCACAACACCCCGAGGTCACCGCACAAACCCTCCAGACACGGCTGCTGCTGTCCGGGCCCTCCCCATGTGTGCGGCCAACAATGAACAACGGGCTCTTGTTCTTCCCCCAGCCTCCCCTCCCAGCAAAGCCGCTGTCCTTCCACCAGCCCCGGCCTCATCCTGCTCCTGCTCCTCCCTGGAGGCCACGGAGCAGCCCCGGCCCGTGCTGGGAGCGGTTCCTGCCATTGAGGCCCTGCCTTTGATGTGGGGCTTTGAGCCAGTTCCTGCAGGGAACAGGATCCTGATGGATCCTTCTGGGGTGGTTTTGGGGCTGGAATCTTGTTCTGCTCCACACACAGCCAGCCTGCAGGCTGGTGACACTGTGAGCTCCTCGGCTGGTGACACTGGGAGCCCTTCACGGGCTCACTGACCCCCGGTCCAGCCCTCCCAAAGCAGTGCAGACAGCCAAGGTGGCCCCTCGCCATCCCAACACAGGCAGCTCTCAGCTGGTGCTGACAGGAGCAGCTGTAAGGCTTGGACTGGGTGATCTGAGAGCTTTTCCAGCCTCATTCCCCGATTCCACCCTGCTGACCACCTCCCACGTGCTCCTGCTCCTCTGCTGGCACCGGCACCACCAGGTCCAGGAGCTGGAAAACCTCATCCCCTGCACGGACCTGGTGGGGTCACCCTGGGGCACAGCACGGCAGGTCCATCCCTGGGGGCTCCATCCCCGCAGGTCCATCCCTGGGGGCTCCATCCCCGCAGGTCCATCCCTGCGGGCTCCATCCCATCCCCGCGGGATTCCTCCCTGGGGGCTCCATCCCCGCGGGATCCCTCCCTGGGGGCTCCATCCCATCCCCGCGGGATTCCTCCCTGGGGGCTCCATCCCCAAGGGATTCCTCCCTGGGGGCTCCATCCCATCCCCGCGGGATTCCTCCCTGGGGGCTCCATCCCCAAGGGATTCCTCCCTGGGGGCTCCATCCCCAAGGGATCCCTCCCCGGGGGCTCCATCCCATCCCCGCAGGTCCATCCCTGGGGGCTCCATCCCCGCAGGATTTCTCCCTGGGGGCTCCATCCCCGCAGGTCCATCCCTGGGGGCTCCATCCCCGAGGGATTCCTCTCTCCTTGCTCTGCCCCTCTCCTGCCCACCCCAGGAGAGGACAAGGGCAGGGCTGACCTCGGCTCCGCTCCTGTCAGCCCGGGACAGGTCGGACCGGCCCGGTCCCTGCCTGTCCCTCATCCCACGCTCCGGAGCTGGGAGATGCCCGGGGTTCAGGAGGGCACGGGGAGCCGAGCCTGCCCTGCTGTCCGGGAAGGATGGAGGATGACCTGGTTATTTCCACACCCCGAAACAACCAACACCCGGCAGGGAGGAGCGGCTCTCCCCTCCCGCTCTGTGCAGCTCCCGGATTCAGGAGCCAGCCCCAGTTTCCAGCGTGGGACGGGGCAGCTGAGGCACACCTGAGACTCCGGGAATTTTCCGCTGTGTCCAGCCCACAGCACCACGGAGCCGTTATCCCAGCGCTGCCTGCAGGACCCCGCTCCCGGAGCTCTCTCGGTTCCCGGGCCCGGGAGCTCGGCAGCCTCAGCCACGTGTGGACCTTGGCCGGGGCCGGTGGCGAGAGGCGAGCCGGGAGCACGGAGC